GAGAGAGTTCAACGTGGAGAGGACGCTTTCAACCATCAGGAAGAACTGCACCCAAGGTGAGCTTCTTCTTTTCTTTGTTCTTCTCTGTAGATTAGAGTTAATATATTTGTTTCACCCTAAACATCATTTCCATTTAATAATAATAATAAAAATTATTTGAAAGCGCTTTTCAAGAGATCCAAGGACACTTGCCACAGAACACATAATAGAACAATAACCACGAAGAAAAATAAGAAAACAAAAGCACAAAGTAACATAAACAAACAATAGGTTCACAGTAAATATGCAGATTTGAACAGATGGTTTGAGTTGAGTTTTAAACTGGTTGAAGAATCAGTTTTTTGGGGGTAGAGAGCTCCACAGTCTGGGAGCAGAGCAGCTGAAAGCTCTGCTTCCCATGGTGCTGAGGCAGAAAGATGGCACAGCAAGCTGGATAGAAGAAGCAGCTCGAAGTGAGCGGGTGGAAGAGATGGTGCTTAACAGCTCAGAAAGGTGAGGAGGAGCGAGGTTATGAAGGACCTTGAAGGTGAGCAGAAGAAGCTTGTATACTATCCAGAACTTCACAGGGAGCCAGTGAAGTTCCTGGAGAACTGGGGTGATGTTCTCCAGGAGGGGTTCTGCTGATAATGCGGGCGGCAGAGTTTTGAACCAGTTGAAGATTATGGAGGGATTTTTGGGGGAGACCATGCAAGAGAGAATTACAATAATCACTGTGGGAGGTAACGAGACTGTGGACAAGAATGGACGTAGACTGGGTGGAAAGAGAAGGACGTAATCTGTTAATGTTATGTAGATGGAAACAGGCAGAACGAGGTAACTGCTCGGAGGTCAGAGGTGAACCAGGGAGCAGAGCGAGCGAAGGAAACAGAGTTTTTACAGGAGACATTGAGTAAACAATAATTATAATACAACAACAGATCATCAGGGGTAGAATAGAGGTCTGGAATCTGAATATTGTCCAATCTGGTAGTGAGAATGTTCATATCAATGGACATTTACAATTTAGTTATATGTATCAGGTGTAGTGATGCAACGTGAAGGATCACAGTAATAATCACATAATAACTTGCTGTATGAGTAGATTGCTCTTAACATGGAGCTAACTGAATACAACAATATATAAGCACATATTTTATATGCTGTATGGTTCATTTCTCACATGTAGACAGTTTAATTACTATAAAAGGAAGATGCAGATGAATAAATCTAATCCTCCCCTTAACACTGACCATGAACACCACAGCTGCTCTGCACCAGTCCACAA